GCGAAATGTTTTCTATAGCTTCATCTGACAGTTTTTTTTCTTTTTATTTATTCACAAAATTGCATAATTTTCAGTTTTTTTTATCCAGTTAAATACGAAAAAAATAAACATCTTATAACATTTAAATTACTTGTTTTTTTTTTAATATTACACTTAACAAAACAGAATATTAATGATATATTTTTGATAGAGAAAAAGAGGGAAAAAACCAGGGAAAATAAAGGATAATTCAGGATATTGACGGGAAAAAACGAAAATTCTAGGGAAATATGTCAGTTTCTTGAGTTCTGTTACGCGTAAAACTGTCAATTTCTAATTCGTTTTAACGAAACTGACAATTTGTTAAAATACTGTTCGTTAAAATCAGGGAAATTTAAGGAAATTTTAAAGAAATTTAGGGTAGAAAATTTTAAAATTAATTTCTATTGCGTTTAATAAAATTGACAACTTATTTGAAAATATTATTAGCTTAAATAAAGGAAATTAAGAGAATTTAAGGTTGAAAATTCGACCCAAAAAATTCGATTTTTCTATAACTAACTTTTTCAAATTATTCTTTCAACATTGTTTTTTATTATTGAATCAAATTTAATTAATTTTAAATAATTTTTGGGGAAATTTTACAAAGTTTTTTTAAAAAAATAAATGAAACAGTTCGTTTTTAGTTAAAGAAAAGTTGTATTTCTGTAGATACTAAAAATTAATGTGATAAAAAAGAAAATAATAAATTGACGTATGCATAGATAATGATTATTTTAAAATTGGAAATTGATAAAATAGAATAAAATTTTCTGAAAATAAAATAAAATAAAATAAAATCAATATTAAATATTTTTGAATTCAAATTTTCGATAAGATAAACGATTTTATAAAATCAAAAATTTAATCAGTTAGTATTTTAGAATTTTATTTTAGTTTTAAGTATACAAACAGGCCCAGAAGTCAGTTAAACGTTCTTATTTGTGTTGTAGGTACTGTACACTTATACTGTTTATGATTTACATTCGTAAATTTGTACAAAGTTGTACTGCACTTTCTACTAGCTGAATGGATAGAATCACTAAACACTAAACGTGGGTTTGTGCCTAATTAACAGTGTTACCATGCAGGTTTTCTTCGCGTGTTTAATAGACTTTCTATAGGAAACTGGCCCCTATTTAGGTGTTAGACACGTGAAGAAACGTTAAAAACTCTTCACGTTAGGCATGAAACCGTTTCCAGTGGTTTTATCCGTTTAGTAAGCCTATTAAAAATTGGATCTTTGTCTCTATCCACACCTTTTTATTAGTAGAGGGCATAAACAGGGATTCTTATTCATACTCAGCAGTTATACCAGACCCAGGAGACCAATCCTATACCAGATTAAACGCTCATGAAAAATTTCCGCGTAGTTGCTCGCCCGAATTCGAACCCGGATCCCACTTCAAAGCGGTTAGATGACTCGTTTAAAGCTTGATGCTGTTTCTTAACTTCGAAATAATGTGACATTTCTAATTTATTAAATATACGAAAAGTAATTTTTGCCATTATTTTTGAATTTTTGAAAATTTATAAAATATCTTAAAGCATAGATTTTTGAAGGTTTCTGGAATTTGATTAGATCATAAATTTCTTTGGAATATTTTAAATATTTGTGGGAATTTGGTCAAATATTCTAATATTAAATTGTCGAAGATATTTTGAATTTGCAAATATTTCAAAATATCGAAATATCATTTAATTTTATCGTCAAAATTCCCAAAATTCAGTAATATTAAAGTAAATTTATGTTTAGAAACTTTATAAAATATTCTATATTAAATTTTAGAATATTTTCTAATATTTTTAAGTCTAAACTTTCTCTAATTTATGCAATAAAGTCTTTAAAATATTTATTTAAACGATGTTTTTGAAGTCCTTCTCATCGATTCGTCCATGTTAAGTCGCAGAAGAAAGACATTTTTTAAGAAAAATAATTAAATTTTCGAATATTTTGTTATATTTAAAGTTTTAAAATCTTTATATTTGTTTAATAAAGCTTTTAAAATATTTCTTTAACAAGCTTTTAGCATAAAAATTCATTTACAAAGTTGATTTATCTGCTGCATATGAGAACGCCTTGTGGATGGAAAAATGGCATTTTTAGAAGAAATTAATTAAATTTTCTAATATTTTCTAATATTTAATACTCTTGAAGCATTCAAATTTGTGTAATAAAACCTACAAGATATTGTTTAAATATATACTTTTAAGTCTTCTCATAGAAATTCCTCTATGAAACTCATCCATAACTAACTGCAGATGAATCTGTTATGTTGATAGAAAGACGACATTTTATTAAGAAATTAATTAAATTTTCTAATGTTTTTAATATTTAAAAGCTCGAAAATATTCTGATTTTTATAACAACAGATTCAAAATATTTTTCTGACAGTATTTTGTAGCAATTCTCACGTAGATTCAATGACGAGCAAAGCGACGTTATTTAGTCAAGAAAATATTTTTCGAAGAAATTAATTAAAATTATTCAAGATTTTTTTAATATTTAAAGATCTCAGTAAATTCTAGTTTATATAATAAAGATTTTAAAGTAATTCTTTGAAACATTTCGTAAAGAAATCCCATTTACAAGATGGATTCATCTACAGTGACTCACACACAAGATGGCATTTTTTTTCGAAGAATTAAATTAAAATTTTCTAATATTTTATGAAATTTATTTAATTAAACCATAAAATGTTTATTTATGCAATATTTTAAAACATTCCCATAAAAATTCATCAGGAATTCTATGAGAATTTCTTATGAATTTCCATGAAAACAGCGTACTTGTCGAAGAAATTCTTTAAAATCGTAATTTTAATCTTATCTTATTATTACTTTTATTATTTTTTAAATTTATATATTTATTATCTTTATAAAATCAAAGAATAATGATAATCAATTATATATTTAAGCGAGTTGTTTGCATTGGAAAACTTCTTTACATCATCATAAAAATGATTAATAACCCTCCATTTGCTATGCATTTTCTCTTATTTTTATGTAATTAAAAATATTTTAATCATAGAAAATGATTAATTGATTATAATTAAAACACTGTTATAACGACATTTAAATAAATTAAAGAGATTTTAAAATTATCGAATGATTTCTGTTTGTCGGGAATTATCAAACAGTTTATTAAATTCGTTTAATATTTTACCATTACTATTCATTATTTACTATTAAGTTTGGTTGGTCTTTCCACTTAAATTCCCTGGTTGGAAATATTTGAATCGATTAAACTATCGACGTTATAAATTATTCTCTTTCTAAAATTTCGATGCACACTTCATTATAACCATTGATGAACCTTCCGGTAATACTACTATAGAAGAATTTATTGTGAATCGTGTATTGCGTGCCGTCTTTAACTCATGAAAAATTACTTGAATAATTACGTTTAACCTTGATCTGGGAGGCCCCAAAAATTGCCTTAGTTTACGCTACTATAATGCTTTGATGTTCGGTTCGTTGGAACCGTTCTTGTATTAGTGTGTGTCGCGTGCAATTGTCTTTACGTCCAATTGCTATGGTTGGTCGTGGGTTCACCCCTCGCCGACGTATAGTTTTCCGGGTTTTCTTCACCTTAAATAGGGGGAAAAGGAACTTTCTAAAGAAAGACTTTCTAAAGGAAACTCCTTTAGAAAGTCTTCCTGGGAAGAATCCCATGTGTGGCGTTACAGAATACAAACCACCAATCAATCGCTCCTACTAAACGTTATATCCGGGCGTTCTTCACATTTTTAACACCTAGAGGTCATGTTATTATAGATATTCCTCTCCTGGCAGATCGCTCATGTATTGTGTCGTGCATCCCATTGAAACCAGCCAAGCTATCGTCTTTCATTTTTAATTAAATAACTAATACAAACCTTAAACAATGTTTGGGACTTCTTAAACGAAGGTTAAACTGAGAAAATGTTACAGTATTACTGTATTATTAGTTTGATGCACAGACGTTTACTAGTGGATAAAACCACTGAACACTGGTGGTTAATCGCCGATTCGTGCCTCAGCAACGGAGTGGTCAAATGAAATTTGCCATGTTTTCAGAGAAACTGACCCCTATTTACGTATTAAATCCTCCCAATAGGCACTCCACCTGACAGATTGCCTATGCGTTACATTATTAATTATTCCATGAAAGTAAACTCGGTTATAACGATTGAAGATGTTACTACAGAAGCAAGTATTGCTAATATGTTCGCACCCAATTGTATTTACTTCCCTTACAATTAATTAACTAAGCACTACAAGTGCTAGGTAGAAAACTTAAATTTTTTGAGGCTTCTTAAGTAAAGGTTACGCTGCGAGATTAACACCGAATAAAAGTAGTTTAAAAAGTGTTTAAGCTCCGATATTGAAGTATTTATTATTATTAATATGTGACTCATAAAATTATCGTCACCTCTTCCCCAGTTAATTAAATAACGGCGACAAACGTTACGAAGGAAACGGCTTTTTTGGGGGGCTTCCTAAATGAAGGTTTCTCTGAAATAATTAAAATGATTTAAAAATTGTTTGAGTGACGATAATCAAATAAATTTTTCATTATCTTCTAACGCAATCAACGTCGGAGTAAGTAATTATCTTGTTTAACAAACGGCATGTGAAGTCATAATGCTGTTATGGTATGAATTTAAAAAGACTTGGCGTGTTAATTTATTGTCCGTTACATGGAATAAAGTTAGCTTTATTAAAAATTACATTTTGTGAGCTTCGAATTTATTGCATAAATCAGAAAATAATATATTTAACGCTTAAAATGGAAATCAGTTTGTTAGTATTGACATTATAGAAGGGAAGCACTAATACGAGGTTTTACTGTACTCTTATCTGAAACGGTTTCTCGCCTGGTAAATAGAATCGTTGATGACCGGTAGCTGTCAAAATCGACAAAGATATGTCCTATAATCTATTTAATGCTTCTATGGTACTAATTGTGTTATCGTCTTTTCTATCTACAGAATGACAAACTGAACTCAATGTCTTGACATCTAGAAAACGATGGGATGGAAGCCAACTCCATGGGTTTTACTATTTGTATGTCTCGCAACGGTTCCCGGGATGCTGGACGAGGTCCCCAGCTGTCGTGTGTCAGAGTTCACTTGTGCTAACGGCAGATGCATCAGTCTCAGCAAGTATTGTGACGGCACAGACGACTGTGGAGAAGGCTCTGACGAAGTCGAAGGATGTACGAGTGAGTATCACAGAATAATCAATTCGAATTACTTTTCAGGTTGACTCCATTGTTATCATTGCCTCGTAACCGTTACGCTGGCTACAGAAAAAATAATTAAGGTAACCACAATTGCCGTGTAAATATCCCATTTTTTTGCATTGTTTATTATCTTTCTCCTGATCTTCTTACCGCTTTTAAGGTGTGTGTAACGTTCTACAGAACTGCTCTTATCTTTTCTCGTATATTATTATTATTATTATTTGTTTAGATGGGTTCATTATTTATACAAAAATCTCTCGAATTCTCGTTTTCTATAATGATATCTCTCGTACTGTACAGTACATCTCATTCGTTACTCATCATATTCGTGGATGATAGTTACTCGCTACAATGATTCTCGCGTGTTTCCATGGTCATTTACCATCTTTTTCTTCTAGATTTTTTTCATTATCATTCATTTTCTCACATTTTCCTCTCTCGTACTTATCACTTCTCTTGTAGATGATGAGAAATCCCATCCTCTCCATCCTCATCTTTAAAAATTCCTCCACGTTAAAACGAGACGTAATACGCTCAGAATGGCAAAAGAATTCGATAAACAATTACTAAAACTACGTATTTAAACAATAAACATCCTCATCTTGACGTTATTAATGTAGAAATCTGGATAATTTCAGTGAAATGCTCATAAATATCATTTCTAAATGCATCATATCAACTGTAACGGCATCAGTTTTCGAATCATTATTAAAATAAATGAATAAGAACGTATGAAAAATCAGATATCGAGCAAAAATTCTAACAAACGAGATTTATTAATAAAGCAGAAGAGAGAGAAAGAGGAGGAGGAGGAGGAGAAAGAGGAGGAAGAGCAGGGGGAAAAGAGAAAGAATAAAAGGAAAGCAGAGGATTTCTCCTCCATCTGGATATTTTCCTTGGCAAGAAGAAGATAGCAGAGCTAAAATTTCTTCAGCATTATCGATCTAAGTGGGTATAAGGGAAAATGATTTATTTGGTAATGCACAAAATTTGTGTTTAGAAACACTTTTACATAACTTGTATTTACATTTTAAGGCCCTACGTGCAATAGTAACTAGATATAAGATGACATTACTTTGATGTTTTTTCAAGAAATATTACTAACCCAAGTAACCTAAGTCGCTAATGGTTGTTTGAAGAAGATAAAATAAAAATGTCCATAGAAATCTTTTATCCATCATTCTTTTTAATGGAATACCCGTACGGTGGCACGCTTTTGATGAATTATCATCTTCCACCAGCATCCTCCTCCTTCTTCTCCTCTTCCTCCTCTCGCTCTGACTCCACTCCTGATCTTTCCCTTTAAAACTTGGAGGATAATTACTTTAATTTTTCTTGGTCTTCCCCTTTATGATTTGGAGGATAATTTGTTTGATTTTAAACAAAACGCCCTCCCCCTCTCTTGCCTTTATCTACAAGATAGATAATTATCTTTAGGATTTATCTACTAGAAATAATTGCTAGATAATGGGATGTTATCATTTATCCATGCTGAAAGTGATTTATAGTTTGCTTACTTGATAATTCAGGTAAAGTGTTTCGTGTGGGTCTTATCTATAATTGAATTTTAAGATAATTAATTAATTAATTATACAGGACAAGATATTCTTACCTATTATCTAGGTAGTTAATACACCTTTACTTTGTTAAATTATCTTATCTAATTGCAAAGTTTCTTTAATTAATTAAGCAATTAAAAAATTAATTATCTGATTATCTAATCGAGTAGATAAAAGTTAAATTAGATAATTTCATAGATAATTATCTTAATATTTTATAAATAACTTATCTTATCTGGTTTGCAAAGTCTATGCTTCTAATTATAATAAAATTAGGATTTAATTAGGTTAATTATCTACTTTAACTCTTAATTATCTTATTAATAGTCATAAAATTTTTCAGATAATCATATTAATAAAATATTTTATTTAAAAGTTCTCATAAAAAGTTATTTAACTGGCTCACATTCTTAAGATTACCATGAAAAATACTTAAGATTGTCTCAGATTATCTGTAAATGCAAAATAGATAAGATAATCTTCTCAGTTAATTTATAATAAAAACTAGATAATAAGTTAACTGAATTGCTAATTAGATAATTTATTATTTAATTAAATCGTAATGAAGTGGGTTTTTACAACATAAACTAAATGAACACTTCAACTATCTTCGCTTAGATAATTAGCTAATTATCTGCTGTTAAAATTAAATCGTAAGTAGATAATTGCATATACATTGAAATTAAGAAATGGAAACACAATTAAAATCACATTATCTCCTCATTTAATTATCAAAATTAAGCAATTAAGAAATTTGTGAAGATAACCAAACCCGACAATATTCTCTTTCATACAAATCAAAGCATTATCTAAGCGACTTTAATCGCTATCATCTCGATGTTTCCTTATCTTAGGACCCTTAATTAATAAAGATAATTAAAAATTAATTAATTAAGATTACGTTTAAATTTATCTGTGCGGTTAATTACAAGATATTTGGAGCTAGGAGAACAGTGATGACAAAGATGCTTATCTGAAAGATAAGGCACTTTAAATGAGGATGTAATGATGACACGTGCTTACTTTACGGATAAACTCGACCCCGAATGTGTTTTCTGTGGGTTTTTTGGAAAGAAAAATGTCTCGAAGCCAAGAGGGACAGCTAAACTCTATCTTTTGTCCAGTCAGCACATCGAAGAACATTGTCTTGAAAGCCTAAAAAGGGAGTTATGTGAGAACAGAGGAGAGAATTATCTCATTTTTACTACGCTTTACAAGTGAAAAGTTAGAAGCACTAGTCGTAAAATCCAATCTGGTTGCTTCTACTCTTTCATTTAATAAGTTTTTATAAAGGAAGTAGGTATATATCTACCTTCTTGATAAGTTTAAATTGAGTTAATGTTAGATAATCTTAAATTAAATCATAAGTTTTGGTGTGTAGCAAAATAAGGAATGAGTGAAAAAAATCTATTGTTCCATTTATACGAAGATTTTGACTAAAAATACAGTGCAAGATTTTAAAATTGGGGATTTTGGAAAAATTGTGCAATTTTCATTGAAAAATTTAATGCAAGAGTATTAAGAACAGTATCAGTACATGCTTCTGCATATAATTTGTAAGGTTGTTGTTATATTTTTGCAGAAAATATAGGGAATTATTAGTTAAGTACACTGACTTGCAAAGTATTTCAATCAATGCTTCCATGTAGTTTTAGAGAATGGAAAGTCTTCAAATATTTTTACAGAATATTTTATAAAAGGAAAGTTCATATTTGTATGGAATTTGAGACTTTGGTATTTTTGCAAAAAGATTTAAGTGAAAGCATTGCAAATAATTTGAGAAAATGTAGAAAATGTTCATATTTCGAATTTGGAATAAAATGATGCAAATTTTATCAAGTAATTTGAAGTGAATCGGTAAAAATTTTGGCAAATAATTTGAAAAAAACAGTACAAATTTCAACAAAACATTTACGTAAAATAGCGCAGATTTCAATAAATAATTGTAGCAAATTAGTGAAAATTTTGGCAAATAATTTGCAGAAAACTGGTGCAAAATTTAAGAAGTAATTTTTTGCAAAATATTTGGATCAAAATAGTGTAAATTTCAACAGAGGCTGTAATAAAATAGCACAAATTTCCACTAATAATTTACAGCAAAATCGCTCCAAATTGCTTACCAAAAAATTGCACTAAATAGTACAAAATTCCCCTGAAGAATTCAAAAAATAAAACAATGTAAACTTACAAATTCACACCGATATCACCCTCAAAAAATTCACGTCACAGAACTCGATACGACATAAATACAGCATTCTGTGCAAAGAATTCGAAAGATGCAAATAAATTTTCGAATCCAAACATGTTGAACGCCATGAAAAGCAAGCAACAGCTAAAAATTTAACATTTCTATTCATTTCTCATCTGTCAGGGAGATAAAAAAAAATAGAAAGGGAAAATACATACATATCGGTTTTTACTCTTTGATAGGATCATTATTTATGAAACACACTTCGAAAAAAATAATGGAAAGAATACAATTCAGACATGTTCAGTTTCAAAATTTGCATAATTTATAAAAGAAAAAAAGGAAGAGACGATGATGAAGAAGATAAAAAAAAAAACATAATACAAATCCTAGAATTTAGAATATCAAATGATTTATAGAATAGAAAGTCGAACATGCAAACGTATCTTAAGCAATAAAAATAACATCGACTGACTGATTGACTGACTTATTAATATTCTGCATTTGTAAAAATGCAAAGAATTGATACTAAACGATAAGAAAATGTAAAGTAGAATGTGTCAAATTCGCTTTTAAAATGTATTCTTTGAAAGTTTACTGCACTAAAAACTGTTCCTAATGCTTCCTTTCTATTTTTTCTTTTTTTTTAAAGTATACCTTAATGTTTTAATGTTTATCTTTTATTGATTTTATTTGCCTTTTTGTCCTTGTGATAAATATGTAAATTTAATTCGAAACTCGAATTAATTATGTTAATGAGTTTATGAACGTGTTGCTGGAAAGTATTGATTAAGTCTCTGCTGTTTATTCTTCATGTTTTAGTTAGTTTATGTTGAAGTGTGTTCGTGTATATTATAAATTTGTTAATGGGAAGTCTGCATTTGTTGGGAAGTATAAATTGTTAGAATATCTTTGTTTTTGGAGTCTGCATTGTTGGAAAGGTTATACTGTTGGAAAGTCTTCGTTTTTTTGAAAAGACTGTATTGTTGGGAAGTCTGCATTGTTGGAAAGTTTGCATTGTTGGAAAGTCTGCATTGTTGGAAAGTTTGCATTGTTGGAAAGTCTGCACTGTTGGAAGGTCTGCATTATTGGAAAGTTTGCATTGTTGGAAAGTCTGCATTGTTGGAAAGTTTGCATTGTTGGAAAGTTTAATGAATTATATAAATTTTTAATTTTTGTTGAAATATTGTTAAAATAAACAGATTTTTCTTTAAACGTTGTATCTTGTTTTGCTAGAAAGCCTCAGTTTTATAACGTGTTTTGCTAAAAATTTTGAAGATATTTCAATGTTATCTTGCAGAATCATAGGAAAATTCAAACCCTGTTTCTGTTACAAATGTTAGAATTTTCTTGTTATACATTTTATTAGGACAAATATTCGTGTGTTGCTAGATATTTCAATGCCGCTAGAACCAGTTACTACTTAAGAAAAATCTTAATTTAAAGCAAGAAATGATAGGATTTTCTGCAAAAAAAATTACAATAAAATAGACTTTTTAAGACAATTCAATCTAAAAAATACCTGAAGCTTGGTTTAATTGTCAGTAACATTATTCTAAAAATTCAGAAACTTATCTACTGCTTGGCATTCTTAGAAAACCCGCGCATAGTCCCCTTCGAAAGCGATTTAACGTCCCACCCCGATTTAACACTCATAAAAAAATTCAAATATCGCACCTCTCTATAAACACGGGAATAATCCCGTTTATAACGTTACACCAGAAGCTCCAACTCTTCGAAAAAGAATGGCAATGCAACGCTATTGAAATCATGAAAAATTGGCACTCCGCGATAAAATAGCATTTTGTATCCATTCTGTGCCTTATTTTTCCTTAAACTAGATTCGTTTCTTTCAAAAAAAGGGGGAAAAGCGATACAGCTCAACACAGCAACCGTCTATACACATGGGTGATGCGAGACCCGGTGCTACTTTCTGGATCATTACTTTTCCTTAAGGGCAAAAGGAAACACACAGATGATATCTGCGAGCCAGAAAGCGGTATAGATGTCAACATGGAAGTAAAATGATGGTACAGGAAGTAGTTATGATTTATTTCCTTTTCTCTCCGACTTATATTCCCTTACTGCACTTCCTCTTAACGCGGTTTCTAAGAGTTATTGTTTGCCCTTTCTTCTAATCAACTTTTATATTTTTTCCTTATTTTTTTTAGGTTGTAACCGCACTTATTACGGTGAGATCGATATCAAATATCCTTTGAGAATTACTGAAAAGTTTCCAAGATCGCAACCTTACGTTTGCAAAATCACCTTCTTGGCCGATGGAGATGAATTTGGTGACATTATCCAGTTGACTTTCCTTAATTTTCAACTCGGCACGCTGGAGGTTGATAAGTAAGCTTATTTTAATACTAATTTAAACTATTTTCAACCATATATTAGAGTAAATAGAATTAAAAATCGATATTTTACCAGCGTATACAGGCTGAAAAAAGTCTTCGTAATAAACCTTTAAATGTTAAATTTTTATATATTATTATGTACAATTGTAATATAACCTTTATAAAATATTTATAATTCAAAATTAGAAGATAATTTTATATAAATTCGTTTTATTATGTACGTATAAAAGTATTTTCTTTGATTTTTTACCGCTTTCCACGCTCAAATTCACTTCGTTTTTAAGTAAATTTGCAGAAAATGTTTCAAATTTACTTCACATAAAAATTTTTGACAGTTTGCTGATTCAATATTTTCTAATAATTTTGCAATATTTTCAATTTAAATCTCTTTACTAAGCGTTTAAATTATATAAAAATGCTCCTTCCCCGCCATTTTTTCCATGCGACTAAGCTCCATTCTAAGCAATTTTAAGCATTCTTTTTTATTAATTTTAACTAAATTTTTAAGTTAAAACATTATTTTAAGCGTTTAAATATAAAACTCTAACGTTTCTGATAGGATATAACTGTAGAAACTAGGCAGAAACTAAAAAATAAAACCTGAAGTGTCAGCAGTTGAGCCTCATACAATTGTAAGAGTAACAGAAAACGCTTAATGAACATCTCGTTTACAGAATCCCCCTTTATCTATAGTAAGGTTAGTAAATACACTTGCTTACTTCACACAAGAATTTAGTGAAAAAATAATAAAAGAAAAGAAATTCGATAATGCTAAAAGTTGGTACCAAAGTGTAACATCATCCGCAATCGACGACAACCTTTTTCAATACTTTACTACTTCTTCTTTTATTAAATTACATCACGTAAATCCACTAATCCAAATTTAATTAAAATTTTCCAAAAAGGACTAAACACACGAATGAATCAACCGCGATATACGTGACAGTAATCAGTGTCTTTTCTTCTTCTTCCTCTTCTTCTTATGGAGTAAATTAAAGAATTACAGAGGATGGACTGGTGTTGTTTGCACTTCAGTAAATACCTTCATAACTTGGATAATTGAGCTGCAATTTGAAAAAAAAATTGTAGATCTATAAATTCTCATTTTATAATACGTCTGTCTGTCTGTCTTTCCTTAATCTAGAGAACAGTGTTAGATAGATAAAATTCGAGACCAGATATGGAAACATTTGGGGGAGGTCCCCATTAACTAAACGTTTTCCCTTGAATAGAGTTACATAAAAGATTGACATGACTCTGTCGTTATGAGGAAAAGTATGATGTACAGGGGCGAGATACTACTGATTTGAGGTGGAGAGCATTTTTTAAAAATTTCGACATTGTTATGATGTCATAATAACTTTTGATGGTTTTTAATTTATTTATTGTATGAGTGCTTGAATATATTCTTGTTTGTTACAGGGACCAAAGTTCGGTGTGCCAGAAAGGGTACCTTCAGATCATCGAGCCATCTGAGATGTCCAACGATCGGCTGAGAAGCCAACAGCAAAGGGGATTCTACCGTTTAATGTCTGCATTAAAGCAGCCACCGGAACAACTTTCGAAATTATACGACGTTGGACAAGGTGAACCTCATTTCGGTCATGTTTGTGGTGACATCGTGGGCAGGAGCGCAACTTACTTTTCAGAAGGGAACAACGTTAGTTTGGTGATTGTCGTCCCGAGGAAGACTGTCGTACAACCGTTTTCGTTCAGCTTATATTTGACTTACAAATATCTTCCCAGCCGGCCTTCTTCTACACGCTATGGTACAGGCGGTTCACCATACTACTTGGGTACTAAAGTGGTCAATACTTACTGTGATCGGATTCTTGTCAACTGTCACCAGAAACGTTGCTTAGTCAGGTCCCCCAACTTCCCGGGATTCTATCTAAGAAATATAACTTGCCATTATTGGATAAGGCAGGATTCGATACCACGTGGGCAACACGCCCACATCACTCTTGCTCAGAATAACGAATACAAGATCTCCATTTACACGGGACGTTCGACTTCCAAGTCGTTCCCGGACAGCAGTACTCTGACTGTCGATTGTTACAGTGATGTCGTCAGGATCTATGACGGCTCTAACGTTAGTTCGCCTTTGCTAACTGAATTCTGTGGTGCTGGGGTATTACCCGAAATCACTTCGAGCAGCACGGAGCTGCTGGTAGAGTTGTACAGTGCCCCGAGTCAACTCTTACACAATTCATGGTTAGAATTGGAAATTAGTGTGAGATTCGTGGATTCTTCGGAATTTAGAGTCAGGAAGGGGTGTGATTTTGTTATAGACGGTTCCAAACGTGAACACGGTCTGATATACACACCGCGTCACACCGTGCCACGTAACACCACTTGTACTTATCACCTCATTGGTGCAACGCCATTCCATCGGGTTTGGTTGTACTTCCTGTCCTATTTTATAGAGAACAAGCATCAGTGGACTCACAGTGAGACGTGTGACGTCAATAGACTAGATGTATACGATTTAGACAAAAATAGAACACTGGACGAACCCACGTATCGTTTTTGTGGTAAGTCAACACCTAGGGTGTGTGCACGGGCCGCTGATCACCCGGATAACATACCCGTCCGTCCTTGCACCTATCCTTCTGACAGTTACATCTCTACTGGTTCCGAGATGATTGTTAAACAGAATTTCTTTGCCACTACAGAACTCACCAGTAAAACCAGTGCTTTCGTGGCCAGATACGAGTTTGTAGATACGAGCCAGGACGGTAGCCAAGTCAATAATACTCTATGTGATCGGAAATTCGAGAGGTGGTCCGGACAGCGTGGCACATTCTCCTCACCACGCAACGTCTTCTTCTACGGACGTGGGGGGAGGGAAAACATCTCGTGCTCTTATTACTTTATGGGTTTGGGTAGTGAGAGGATCAGAATCACTTTCGTTAAGGTGAAGTTACGATCCTCGCTGTGTGACAATTACTACGATGACGTGGTGCAGAGGTACAAGTGCAGGATGTGGAGCGAAGATACGAGTTCGCGCCTATTGGTGAGCGAACAATGGGGTTACGTATTTTCACTGTTGGGTTGCTTGTGCAGCACGCTTTACGACAGGCAGCTGCCAGTTGTTATGGAGTCGGTGAGTAACAACGTAAAGATAACATTTTCCATCAACCAAATGACGCCTTACGAAGATTTCAAGGACTTTAATTTCGAGGCCCAGTACGAATTCCTCCCTTCGTCCTACTGTGACGAGGGATTGCATCGCAAATCTTGGTCTAGCGAGGGAGAGATGGTGTTTCAAACTCCAACAAACTTGGACGTCAAACAACCTCTAAGATGTCGTTGGCTGGTGGAAGCTTCACCCCACAAGTACCTATACCTGAAATTTAATGGACACGATGGCACTACCAAGTGTCCTAGTGGAAATCGCGTCATCGTGTATGCAGGTAACGACGTGCAACCTTTAGTTGTAGTCTGTATCCATAACGAAGCAAGGATGAAAGAAATCGACGTATTTTCTAGCTCGTGGTATAATGAAAGTAACAGTTACACCACGGCTCATCTAAGGGATCACGTGTTTGTGGAAGTGATCGCGACTACACCCACCATATTCACTATCAGGTGGATAGAAGTGACCAAACCTTTCTTAAAGACCCAATCAGGTCAGACGTTGAGGAACGTCAATTGCCTCTTCGAGTGTCCCGAATTAAATGCATGCATAAGTCCCGATTTGTGGTGCGATGGTACTGCGCACTGTCCGTCTGGTTACGACGAGGCACCCAATCATTGCCAGCACTTCCCCACATTATACGTGGCGGGAGGTGCGGCTGGTGCTGTTATTTTGTTATTGGTGGTGCTGGCTCTAGTCACACATCGCTGCAGGCAGAGGGGGAAATTCAAACAATCGCGTCCTGTGCCCACTGACGATTTGCCTATGGAGAGTCATCACGTATGAGGGGAGAAGGGGGTGCCAAGGACTCTAAAAGTGCCTCAAGGAGCTGTGGTTATGCTGTGGTATGTGACCTATGTGCTCCGTAGCCGATTCCTGTATGTGAGTGCGTGTGTATGTCTGCTTGCATTTGCGTGCGTGCGTGAGTGAAGGAACCATCTGTTGCATGCTGTTTATTGTTACATAAACGGTATAATGCTCAACAATATGTAATGTGTGTCCATCTCATAAAAAATAATAATGATGATATGAAGAAAATGAAGAAAAAAAACACAAGTGTATGTTGATGTTCCCAAGTTGTCATACACTTAAGTTGCCATATTTATTGAGGAAAAAAAACAAAATAATTGTGTAATTTATAAAAGTTTATATATGTGGATGAGCATGTTTGTAAATATTGATGATTCCTGCTACTTTTCATGGTGAGTTCTTGTCCTTACTTTCATACTTCGTGGTTGTTGTAACACTGAAAAGATCACGTGTAAAATTCAAAAATTCCTACACCAAGAAAAAAAATTTAATCCATTTAAATTTAATGGACCAAATCACTCCTTCTAACACAAAAAATCTTAAATATTGACATGTCAGAAAGCGCAAACAACGTGAAAAATTCGATTTAAGTGATATAATCACGCGAATTTCACATCGAAACGAAATGGTTATTTTTAAAATATTACTCTTCACGTCATATTGAGTGAATCACACGTTATTGCTTTAAGATTTATTTAAGCAGATTTTTTACTTCAAATTTATAGGCAGGATTCGAATTCGGATAAAAATTCTGAAAATTTCTTGAATTTTTAAAGGTTTATTTTACTAAAAACCTAAATTACAACTTAGAAAAAATGATACGAAAGCTAATTCTTAACGTAGAATGTGTAAAACGTTAATGATTTCATTTTTCACGTCACACTCCTTTATCTGAAGCTTCTCAAATACATAAAACCCATCGAGGATATCGCTGTTTATAGTGAGAAATACAAAAGATATCAAATTTCCGGTTAGTTGCAACGTTACATTTTAAATTCGTAAGTACAGGGTGGCCCAAAAGTCAGTTAACCATTGTACAAGATACTTGTCTTTCTATTTGATTGATACACACGAATTGTTTAAAATCAACAAGCAATTCGACTAAGATGAGATAAAATTGCGTGAAAAAAAAACGCGGTTAACTAATTTTGGGGCCACCCTGTATATTTTTTACCTTAATAAAACGGATGTTCGTTTCATTGAACACGTATAAAATTTGAATCTTTGTATAATATACATTTAAAATTTTGAAATTTGTTGTGGATTATCACCAATTCAGCAACGTCCAGCAACATTCAAATCCATCTTATGTTATATCTTCTGTACCCATTATCACGTGACTCACAAAAATCGCTTGACCCCAAACGACATTGTGTCCTTTACCAAGATTGGAATCTTTGCCATTATCAAGAATGGGTCAACGGAAACCACCATCATAGATCGATTCAGTTGACCCATCATTGATAGTGTTGAAGATCTTCGATGCGTGGGTACCTAAGTTAATAATGAGAACATACATTTTAACAAATCGGTATTCTTTTTACATAAAAATCACTTGATTGGTATAGAGCATCAAGTTTCTTACTATGATTGTAATCTTCCCACTATAAACGATGTGTCGGCAGAAGATATATAAGAGGAATTCTATTGAACCATCCTTGATAGTGTTAAAGATCTTCGTTTTAGGAGGACCAAACCATAATCAGCACGTAAATTTTAGGTAATTGAGCATTATTCTCAATATAAAAATCACGTAACTGTTTGGGATTGTTGCCATTGTCGAGGATGAATCAAATAATCTAAGATGATTGTGTTGATATAATGGCAAAGATCTTCTATTTAGGAAGCTCAAACGATAATCAGCATATAAATTATGTATTTTTTCATAAAAAAACTCACAATATACTTAAATTTAGAATAGGAATAAATGATATATATATATGTAAAAAAAAAATAGTGGAATAACCGTTCACATACCTCATATTTCTCGATCATTCAGTATTAAATTGCCAGAGGTTTTGAAAGATGGTTCTTCTATAATCGTGCTAAATCGAATATATAGGTTTCCCTTTTTTTGTAGTGTGCAGCTCCAAACTTTACTATAATCTCTCTTAAAAAAAAGAAGAAGAAGAAGAAGAAGAAAGAGAGAATGGTAGTTGTGGAGGAAGAGGAGATATTAAGTGACACACTGTTGAATAAATCTTTCACAACGAGTGGTAATTTGAAGGTATTGAAGCTTTTTGTGATATGGCCCTATAGATTTCTTTATCCTCTTTCAGTCAATGTGACTATAGACAGACTTGCAAGGATTTGGTATTAAGTGTCCAAACTTTCACTTGATCTGTTCTAACTCTAACTACATCTTGCACTTCATAATCTTCTTAGCGTGTTTAGCAACAAATGACCCCCGTTTTCTTCCCTCTTCCTCCTACTCCTCCTCCTCATCCTTCTTCTTGACTTGCGAGATCTTCTATAACTAAACCATTGTTTGGCATCGATTTGTTCTCCACACTTTATTTTATCTTTTTATTTTTTTACTTTTTTTGGTAAAAATAAGTTTTAAAATGTTTAAACGAATAGAAAAACCTTTTACTTTTAAAATATATTGAGGAGCGAGAGTGAGAATCGCGTGATTTAGTTGCCAATTCAAACCCAAATTTTTAAATAATTATCCAACTTCTTCAGGAGATAAAATAATAGTCACGTGAACTTAATATCATATTTTCTTTTATATAACTTCATTACAGTATTGTGACGTTTGAAAATCGAATATTACATCACACAATCGAGCATGCTAATCGATCAGGTGATTACAACGTCAAATTACATAACCGAAAGCATGCAATTTAAGAGATATTCGTATCAACCAACTGAACGATCACGCGATCGATTTAATGCCGTAATCGATTACCTACTTCGCGAACAAATCGCGTGATTTTAGAGTAAAATTATCCAAATTTTATCATCATATTGACATGTGATTCCGATACAAATCATCCGAAAAGATCACGCGATATTACAAAGTAATGACACGTAAATGGCAAATTATCTAAAGAAGTTGATAGATGATTCGTGTATCTTTCTAGAATATAATCACGCTTCTAGAACTAAATCACGAACTAAAAAAAACTTAATATCGTTAATTATGAGTGATTTATACGATTTTAAGCGCTGATTTAGTGCCATTAACACCCATAATTTATTAACCACAGCATTAAAACTTATTAAAACTATAAAAGTGTGATTTTGTAACAATGAATCACACGAAAATTGTTATTGTTTTCTTGTAAAAATTACAGTCCACACTTAACTGTAAATCATAAGATGGATCACATCCTCACCTAATTCAGTTGTAATGCAATTAAACACTCACAATTCATCAATGAACACGTTAAAATCACAAAAATTCGATTATGCTTGATGAACTCACACGATAAACGAGTGATTTTATAAGAACTACGATTCAAAGTATTTATAACATGAATTACATTTTCATCTGGCTCTGTATAACGTAATTAACACCGAGAATTTATTAAATTAAACAAAAAAACTCATTAAAATCACGGAAATATGATCACATAAAATTGAATCACGCAAAAATCACACTTTTTATAACAATAATCATTCAAGATTTTATAGTAATTCTGATTTATTAGTTGAATTATATTGTAATTAGTATCTTATATAACACAATTAATGCTTAATAAACCCATTAAAATCACAAAAATCTGATCACATTATGTAAATCACGCAAAAAATGTTTTTTTTTCTATAAGAATAATAACTCGAAAAGGAACATTTTATAATATATTTAAGGTAAATTATATTGTAATTGAGCACTTATATAACACAATTAACACTAAATTAACCTATTTAAATCACAAAAATCCGATCACATACCAGTAAATCACTCAAAAAATAATACTTTTTTTATATAAAATTAAAGGCACAAATCTGGTACGTTTTCTGATCTATTAGGTGGGTTATATTATAATTAGGCACTTATATAACACAATTAACAATTAAGCCAATTAAATCACGAAAATCTACTCAAATACGCGAGAAACCGTACCACTTACAAGAATTAGGCTCCAAGAAATGGGCTTTTTTTTACAGTGTTGGAAGGCAAATCAGGGTCGACGTAACCTGTATACGACATAAACTTGTATACAAGAGACAAAAGCATTCACATGTCGTCAACCGTGATATAAAGGAATGCATAAAGTGTCCAAGAGTTATTTTACTCGAGAGGACGTGATATATTATTATACTTGAAGCAGTAACTTATCTCAACTAAGATAATTTACTGCCAAGTTTCGTTTCCTGTCGTTTCACTTTGATTTTTGAAATTCTCGCTTAACTTACAAAAGCCATGAATAATACACAACACACAAAGTAACAAGAAGAAGAAGAAGAAGAAGAAGGGGAAATGATATGGCTTCACTTGATTGAGTTTAGTTATATATCATGAAAACAATGCTTTCTTATAAATGGTTTCCCCTTTTCTCTCGTACCGAATCGTGTGTTGTTGAAATTTATAGAATTTATCATCGCAAAAAATAAACCCTATTACATCTTGCATAATTCTACAATACGGAGGGGTGGTCTAAAAGTCGGTTTACCACTCAAATCTTTAACTAGTGATCAGGAAAATGCGATTTTGTTCGCATGTCTATCGTGACAAACACAAAATCGCGGTTAACTTACTTTTAGGCTACTGCATATTGCGTAGAGAGGGTGGCCCACAAGTCGGTTTACCACACCAAAGCTTTAGTAATCAAGAAAATGCAATCAATTCCACTGTTTTCTTCCATTCACAGGTCTACTAAGATACGTATACACAAAAAACTGCTGTTAACTGACTTTTAGGTCACTGCGTATCGTATAAGCATGGTGGTCCAAAAGTCAGTTAACCAATCCAAGAAGTAATTTGCAGTTAATTCCACTACATTTTACACATCTATGGGTATGACTGGAACACACGGTTAACTGACTTTTATTCCATCCTATATGTAATATAAATTAATTTGTAATATATTCAATTGACCCAAAAGTCGATTTACTATGTATAAAGATTACATTTTAATTATTTATTTATTTATATTATTTTATTATTATGTGTTCATACGTAGTGGTTTATGAGTAAACAAAACGTGGTTAACTAACTTTTGGCTCACCCCCGTATATATATTAAGGATTACAAAAGTACAAATTTTACATTTTAAATCATAAATATTACATTAAATCACTTCTTATCATCATCTGCATCCTCCTGATGATGAATTTATGACGTAAGTTGTGTTTAAAATTAAAAAAAAAAAAATACGTCACGAATAGGATTTAATTACAATAATTTCATTAAATACATTAAATAA